TGCCAATAATCATAAAATTGCCACCGTACAACTTTAGACCATTACATTATTATCTTATAAAGTTGATCAATGAACATAAATAGGTCTTACAAGTCTCACGAAAAACCCTTGGTCTCACGTGAACTCAACCATGTATATACACACACACACATATGGTTAATAGCGGTATATGGATTAGCTTTTACGTACATCGACTAATCTTATGAGACATTGAAGATAACAGTCAAAAAAATCCCAAATGATCCTGAGGAGACTCGAACTAGCGTCTAATAGGTACCAAAATTTTAGATACCAAAATGGAAGTTCTAAAAGTACGTTATCCAAAACAAGAATCAAATTAAAGTATGTTACTGTTTCATGCATTTTACACAAACAGATAAATATTTGATACCATTTATAACAAATACCTAAAGAAAATAAGCAACCATATAATCCAAGATTACATAATTGGCTATAAAACAAGTTTAAGCTTTTAGAACACATGGGTCCCATTTAGTATGCTTGATAATAGATTAATTGGGACATACTTTATCCTTTGCTTTGACCTACATTTAATGGCATCATGAAATCGAAGTATGCTTTAGACCCACCTTAAGATTTGTTCAAAATAAGTGGAGTTAGGGAACAAGTTTGATTCTTGACTAAATTACCCTTTTGCCCCTAATTTATAATTCATTAGTATTTTTGTCTTTATGATACTATTTGTTGTTGTTTTCGTCTTTAAAGTTTACGGTTGTTGTTTTTATACAGAACTTGTTTAAAGATAAGAGTTAGTTAGGGTTGCACACGGTTAAAGGAACTATGTCGAAGACATTTGGATAACCCAACCTAAATTGTACGAGTTGGTTATATTGAAACTTTGGTATATAATTTTACAATATTACTAAAGGATTGTGTTTAAACGAAATAAAATCAAAACGAGAGCATACAAATAAGTTTAACAGTCACATAAGATATGATTGAAGATATTTACATGATATTTTGTATTAAAGATAATAGTAATTAAATACTTAACAATCATATCAAATCCATGATATATAATAACACATCAGGTTAGGTTGGGTTCAAATGACCCTATTCCAATTCCATCCAAATACCTACGGTTTTAACATTTTTACAACTCGATTAGGTATCATGTGACTTTGGGTTGGGCTGGATTGACCGGGTTACTCGGTTTTTTGTGCACCCCTAGAGTTAGCCTCGAGGACGAAAATGAAAACGAATTGTGAACCACAGGGATAAGGACAAAAGTCACAATTCTTAACAAATATAGGAACTAAAATCTACACTCCTAGAGTAAGCCTTAGGGACGAAAATAACAACTAATTACAAACCACAAAGATAAAACTACAAGGACAAAAGTTGCAATTCTTAACAAATATAGGGACTAAAATCATAAATTAATCATATGTATTTCAGCACCACCACTTTGTGCATCCATTCCTTTTAAAAACAAAAGGGTTTGGTCTCTTAATTTTGACATTATAATATCAAAAAAACTAAAGCATTTCAGAAAAAGCAAAAGATATGTTTCACTTTGACTATTCTTCAACACCATTTTCTTTTTGTCTTAGTGTGTTTGGAAGAATTTATTCACAAGTGAATATAAGATACCATGTTTTGTTAATATATATATGTAAAATCATAAAAGTAGCTTTATTTTTTATGTTTATTTTGATATATTAATTTAACTCAATAAAAATAGTAACAACATTTTGATAAAACTAAATGCATCAATAACATCCAAATAAAATACGAGGTTAATTTACTTTAGGGGTTGTTTGACAATTGTTAAATGGTTTGCTATAAAATGATTAAATAGTCAGAATGATTAAGAGGTTCTTATGATAAAATGCAGAAAAAAATATAATTGTTTGATAATTGTTAAGAGTAAAATAAGGGAGTTGAATGGTTAAGGGAAACCCAATATACAAAATCGTTCAGATGGTTTTAGAACTATTAAGAGGCAGACTTTTTTTACGAAACAAGACTCACCTCTTAGTGATTTAGAAGCTGTCTATTAATGGAACTACTAAGAGGTAAACAAATAACCTTTAAATCTTGAACATATAATTAAATAAAAGAACACTAGGAGTTGATTTTAGTGAATGTATTTGAGAAAGAGAGAAAAGAAGGTTGGAACCAAGGTTGTTATGATGGTACAGTTCAAGTATCGTTTACTAAACACTCACCTTGTTAAGCACTTTTCAAGTTTAGTTTCTATTAGTATATACATTAGACAATTGCACTATCATGTATCTTCTTCATATACACATATTTTCAATCTATTCTCCATCTCTATATAACGCATTTGTATATATGTTTAGTAATTGTGAACATGTATATGTAAATTGAGAAAATTAATTGAATGTGATATACRTAAGATTTAAAAAGTATGGATAAGTTATATCAAATGGTTGTTGATGAAAAATAATTTATGAGTATAACAATAACATATTTAAGGTTAGAAGAACATTTTAATGTACCAAAACATCAACACCACTCACCCGACCAACCCGTACGGTTTGGGTTGAGTTAAGATTTTTCAGGCCACAAGCATTGGGTTGAGTTGTTCAAATATCTTTAACTCGATCAATCCAACTCATGAGTACTCCTACTAGTAAGCACTTGGGTATAAATTCTTACTTACCACCAATCCATTTTGGTGGCCTAGAATGTTACCTCATATAGTAAATGGGAGTGACAATCCTGATAAGTAGTTATCTGGTAAACCTTTGGTAAATTACCCTTAAGTCTCAAGAGTCACAATGTTTTTCAAGGAGTAATTTCAAGTGATATATATATATATATATATATATATAGAGAGAGAGAGAGAGAGAGAGAGAGAGAGGGGTTCATTCAAGAGAGAACTGATTATTTTGTGGTAACTGTGAGATCCAATCTTAACTACAAATCAACAGATAAATTAGAAAATTAATAATTATGGTAGTTTGAGTTAAAATTATAATTAGAGAGCTTTTTAGGTATTTTTAAAAAACTCCTCTCTCCGACCTCCAATCTCCGGTGAACTTTAATGCGGCAGGTACCAACTAATCACAAAGATACACAATGTGATATACTGTGATACCAACTCAAACCTCAAAAACAAATATACACAATWTGATACCTATTGTGATTAATTGTGATACCGATTTCACCGACAGTTACCCCAAACTAATCAGTTCTCATTTGATTAATCCTCTCTATATATATATATGGTATATTTCAAATACAACCTTGTCCATTTGTACAACTCAATTAATTAAGATATTTATGAAAATGACGAGAGTTCATTAATTATGATCAATACTTTATATTAAGAAACAATAAAAACTTTTATGAAATCACAGATTCATCAAATTAAATGGACAGTTGAGATTGAGTTGTATAAATATAAAATGTTGTATAATAACTCACCTCTCTCTCTCTATATATATATAGTTTGTTTCAAATGCAACTCATCACATTTGTACAACCAATGCAATAAAGTGAAATATTTATGAAAATGATGAGAGTTTATTTATTATTATTTAAATATTTATGAAAGATGAATAAGGTTCATTAATTATGATCAATACTTTATATTAGAAAACAATCAAAACTTCTATGAAATTACATATTCATCAAATTAAATGAATGGTTGAGATTAAGTTGTATTGGTTGTACAAATATAAGAGGTCATATAACAACCCACCTCTCTCTCTCTCTCTCTCTCTCTATATATATATATATATATATATATATAATCCTTGATATTTGTACAACCAATACAACCCAATCTCAACCGTCCATTTCATTTGATGAATATGTGATTTCATAGAAGTWTTRATYATAATTAATRAACTMTATTCATATTCCATAAATATTCAATTCATAATTAATGAACTCTCATTATTTCTATAAATATCTCAATTAATTGGGTTACAAGAATTATACAAATATACAAGGTTGTAAAAGAAATATATCCTTTATATATAAGAGAGAGAGAGAGAGAGAGAGAGAGTGCACATCCCAATATGAAGAAATAATTTTGTTCCTGTCGCACAAGCCCCATGCAAATTGAAAGCTGAAAAGGAACCAACACATATCTCTCATGTGCCCACACTTCTTAAATCATTATTAAACATATAATAAACAAATAACAACACCATCATTTTATTTTCTCACTTATCCCACATTTATGATACATCATGCAGGCAACGTTAATAAGCATTTATTGTTGAGACATTCATTCGATAAGTAAATATGATAACTCTTACTTAATTACTTATCGGGTAAATATTTTGATGACTAATAGTCTTACCCAACATTAAAAACACAAAAATTAAGGTGTTTTCATCTCCAAGACAACGTTAAAACACTAAAAGTTTAACATATTAAGATGTTTATCATTATATAATATTAAAGTCTTTTAGTGTGTGGTTGAAGTTGATTTTTTTAGTGTTCAAATGACCCATCATTTTTAGTAAAGATGGTCTAAGGTAAGTTACGGTGACAACTCTCACCTAGTTAGTATTTACCGATTAAGAGATGCTTTATACTATGATATTTCCATGACTGGTAATCTTAAAGTTTTAACAACTAAAATACCAAATATATAATATGACCTGGTAAACAATGCAATCAGTTGTAAAATATAATCGACAACTTGACATACTTTAACTTGATTCCTATTTCGGATAATGTACTTCCAAAACTTTTATTTTGGTACCTAAGATGTAAAGTTTTAAACATTTAAATACTCGGGTAACCAGTTGAAGCATTAACTGATTATCATACTAATGTTGCGAGCGATGTGGTATCCAACTCAAGTCAAAATACGTTACATTTTAATCTTAATAAATGAGTGGTGATCATTACATGAGCATACAAGTCTTGGAAACATGAAGATTTGGTTCAAATTTCACCAAAATATTTCTTGAATCAAACAAAAAATATAATATTAAAAATACATTTACAGATAATATCTACGGAATCAATAGCAAAAAAGAAGTATCCACAAGAAATATATATATATTATGATTATGATAATAATCTCAGCCTTTTTTCCAAATTTTTGACATCAAAAATTTAATTAAATGAATTTAAACACCCTCCAAAAATTATTTAGAAGTTATATAATCATTTTCTTATACTAATTAAGTAGGCAAAAAAAACTAAACGAGCAATTCCCTATTTTACCCTTTCCATTCCATGCACTGTGAAGTGGGTCGGGTCTTTTGTGTACCCGCATTAATCGGGCATGGAGTCTGAACCGGTGGAATCATGCAATTATACTGCAAGCATAACGAACTACTCAGAGGAATCGCCGCCCTCGGGTTAATCGGCATTCCGGTTAAAAAATTATGCTGTAGGTACAAAAGTCGAATGCTGCCGGACATTAACCGGTCCACAAAAACCGTCGGAACAGAACCGGTGAACCGGTTGTTGTTCAGGTAAAGGTTCTTTACGGTGGCGAGAAGCGGAGAGACTTCTCCGTACAACATGTTGTGGCTAAGATCAACGGTTTGTATATAAACCGAACCGGCAGGATAAATCGGTCCAGAAAATTGGTTTCGCTCGAGTTGGAGGTTGGTGATCGGAAAACTGAAGACGCAACCTGGGATTGGACCGGTGAATTGGTTCAGGCTTAAGTCTAGGTAGTTTAACCGGTTGAGACGAGGTAACAGATGGTCGACTGGACCGGAAAACCGGTTCCAGGATAGAGAAAGGTATTGTAACGAAGAAGGGAGTGAACCGGGTGAAATTGAACCGGATAGGTCGTTGTGTTTGAGGTCGAGCCGGGATAAGGTTTGGGAAACGAATGGAGGTATAGAACCGGATAGATGATTGTGACAGAGGATAAGATTGGTTAACGCCGGCAGACTCCCGACGGCCCAAGGAACACCACCGGTGAGCTGATTATAACTCAAATCAAGTGTTCTCAACCGACGAAGCTCACCGAATGTCGCCGGAATTTCGTGAGAGATAAAGTTCCGACTAACTGCTAAAAACCTGAGATTCTTCAATTGAGATAAACTCGCCGGCAATGCGCCCATGATCCGACCAGGAACAACCGTAAACTCCGCCAGGGCGGTCAACTTTCCGATCGCAGGATGAAGACGACCGGATAAACCAGGAGCACCGGCGCGTGGATCACCGATATTCAACGCAACAACCTTCTCGCCTTCACAATAAACTCCGGCGAAATTACACGGGTCAGAAGTGAAATCCCACGAGGAAAAGTAATTAGACCCAGGCATATCTTCTAGCGATTTTCTAATCGACTGTAAAGCCAAAAAATCAACAGGATCCAGAATAGCAGAACAAAATGGAGATCGATTGACAAGAAGAAGAAGAAGAATCAACAAACGAATCACCTCGAAATCCAACATTCGTTTCATTGTAATCAAATTACAGAAACCTAGAGATTTGAGAAAGCATATAGAATCGATTGGAAGATATATAAAGGAAAACCGTAGAGGTTGATGATACTTTACCGTGAAGCGAGTGATTATTTCACTTTCTGGTGGGGAAATGTGGCCGTGAAAGCTTTAATGGAGAATACAGCTAGCTCTGCAATTTTTATATAGAGAGAGAAAGTAGAGAGAGAGAGAAGATGATGATGATAATGGCTTGGGGGGAACGCAAACGAAGAGGGTGGGTTTGGCTTCTTAGAGAAGGAGCAATGACTAGTTGTGTTACTACATTTGTTTTATGTTGGAATTTTGTTAAGGTTAATTTTTGGGGTTTTGTTATGGAGGTGGGGTGAGGTTCGGAAGAACCAACGGTTGTCCGGGCCTACGTGGCAGGTTCGGGGGTGACAGCTCAGGGGGTTTGGCGGTGACCTGGACCAGAACCACGTGACATTTGTGGAATCTGCCACACACATTTATGACATTTTTTTCCTTTTTATTTATTTTCCTTTGGTTCGTTTCTCCTGACATAATAAGAGAAAATTATCTTCCCTTTTTGTATGATTTAGTTACTATAATTGATTTAGTGACTATTTGATTCATTTTCTGTTAAAATATATATAGATATAGTTATCTATATATTAATAAATAAGTTGTTGTACGGTTATTGTACTGAATAAACACTTTGAATGTCAAAATAACTACTTTACCATCAGTCTTTATTTTTATCTGAAAAAAACAACAGTTTAATCAGAACACATCTGATTAGAAAACCAACAACGAATAAATTATAGCAAAACCATATGCGAAAAGCACATCTGATCAGAACAAGTAAATTGAAAATCACCGGGAGAAATCAATAACCATGAGAAGAAACCGTAACCATAGTGAGAAATCTAAAACTGTAGAGAAATCAGTAACCATGAGAAGAAATCTTAGCCCGTACTCTCATTTTCTAAAACAATTAATGAAAATTTTAATCAATTAATTTTTATAAATATTAATAATAAATATTACTAATAAAAAAAAATAGTCCTCGAGCAAATGCTATTTACCCATCCCCCCTTCCCCTGAACGACCCTCAATGCCTTTCGATTCAGTGAAATCATTCAAGGTACTCATTAAATGATTAACTTAAATGCTCATATTATTTTCTCAGTAATGATATAAGAAGATTTTTACATTTCTTCCATCTCATCTATGGCTTTGGTTGGACAACAGTCGGTGTGAACATATATTTATAAGATGCATGTGGATAATTGTATTAATAAAATTTCATGTTAAAGGATATGATACATCTGTTTTCATCTTTCATATTTTGTATATTGATATGATAAGAAGAGGGCAGAGATGTATCATTTCAAAACAAATGATCACACATACAGTGACAAATCCATGATTTTTGCTGAGCAGGTACATATTTAAAGTGGATTAAAGACCCTTAAAGTCGTTTGATATGTTTTTAACCAAATTCCACTATTTTAAGTAAGTTTTTGGTTGATTTTCGTGGGATTTTTAAGTTTTTCGTTGATTTTCATGAGAATCTTAAGTTTTTTTTGAGGGACTTTGTCGAGGTATTTTTGTTAATTTCAAGACACTTTTTCCGTTGATTTCAAGGAACTTTCTTTCATTTTTTCATTGATGCTTCTTGTATATAAGTATATTCTAATATATCCTACACCACTCCTCAAAATTAAGCAGATACACCTTTCAAAGATAAATTAAACAAGGGTAAATTACTTAAAAAAATAACGTACTTTAACTTGATTCCTATTTTGGGTAACATATTTTTAAAACTTCTATTTTGGTACCCACATGTAAAGTTTAAACGTTTAAGTACCCAAGTAACCGGTTGAAACATTAATCGATTATCATGCTGATATGACGAGTGATGTGATGTCAACTCAATATTATTTACTGACATGATTAGTGACATGATTTTTTTAGTCTAAAATTAGTATTCAACCAGCTATATACTTAAATGTTTAAAAATTTACATCTTAAATACCAAAATGAAAGTTTTAAAAATATATTACCCAAAATAGAAATCAAGCTTAATTACATTTGTTGGTAATTCAAGTTCATAATAACCATATCACCAATTCTTACAATTATGAAAAAAGTATAACGATTATTATAAACTACATGAATCTTTGTTTACCCTTTAGAAGGAAATGAATTAACGACCCTTAAAGTAGTCTCTTACAAGTGTGAGACATGTAAATGCATTCATAAAGAGATTTTGTTACAAAGTACCCCACATAACAATGGATGGGGCCAACGTTGAACTTAATGAAGTTTAGGACATGTTTGAGATTGCTTATTTGAAACAATTTATCTTTTCTATAAAAGTCTTTATCAAGTTATTATAAGTTAAAATAGTTTATTAAAACACTCAAAAGTGTTTATTACCGGTGTCACATCGAAATAAATCAATAAGTTTTTTTATAAACAATCCCAAACGCCCCCTCAATAGATGTAATCACCCTTTTTTAATTTTCATAAACAATGAATGTGTTAAAAAGTAGTTAATATAAATTTATAAATTAAATAATTAATCTTCGACATAATAAAATATAAGAGCATTTCTAACAGATATTGAGGTCTCATTTGTTTTGCATGAATGAAATGAATTCGAGGGGATTTGGATTTCAATCTTATTTTTGGTTTGTTGGATTGTCCGGATTTGAAATCTTAGGATTTAATTGAAATTCTATAAACATAAGATTTTGAAATCCTTAGGGGGTGGTTGGGATTTCTCGGAATTTCGTATGATTGTATGCAATAAGGTTCTAGAAAATGTTAAAAATATTTGTTTTGTAATAATAGATTAATAAAAATGTAATTTACTTATTTTTATAATCTTTTGATAAATTATTTATAAATAATGAAATCCAATTATATTCCTAATCCTACAAACCAAACACCAATAATTTTAAATCCATTCCAATCCAAATCCCTCAAAAACAATCGTGCAAACCAAAAAGAACATGAGAGATTTCTCCATTCTCTTTCAATTTTTTTTTCCTAAAAAAGAGACTAAAATTAGCTATAGATTCAAAAAATTTAAAATAATATAGCTAAAAGAGATGCTCTAAAGAATTAAACATTTGTTGTACTAATTGAGAAAAAAATATTCTTCATTAAACTAAGGGATCGTTGCTAAACTCTTACCTCGGTAAATGCTTACGAGTTCAATAACTATACCAAGTGAACATAATAAGGACCGATTATCTTACCTAGTAAGAAAGAAGACTAGGATTAAGAGTCTTAATTGGTAAGTGGGGATGCTGATTTTTTACCTAGTAAATGATGTAATGGTTGAGGTCCTGAGGGATGTGGTAAAATATCCCCTCTGTCCGGGATTTGATTACAGGCGTACACAACAATTGTAGTCAATGAGTTTATCAAGACTCATTCCTTGCAATCAATTTGCCAAGTTTCATCCAGGCACACCCTTCTAAAAGAAGTAAGAGTGATGACACTTACCTAGTAATTGCTTACCAGTTATAAACGTATACCATGATAGCATCAATCTATTTTGTTAGCCGGGAATGCTACCCCATAAAATAAATGAGAATAATAACTCTTATCAATAAGCATTCACCGTCTAATGAACGACCACTAAATACAAACTAACATAAATTTCACTAAACTTTGACCAAATAAAATTTCCCTTTCATATACTTTTTAGCTTTGCAACTTGACGAGGCCATTCTACGGGAGACAAGTGACTCTAATGATATAAGAAAAGGATACTCGTTGACAAACTATCTTATTCATATTAATACAATTTCCTCTGAACGGGACCAATTAATGGCCATTAAATGGGTTTTTTTATCCCACAGTAACTTGGTAAATGACCATCTTACCCCTAACTCAACTCAACTCTCTCGATGACTTTCAAATATTAAGCAATCTCTAACCAATAAGTTAAAGAGCTAAATTGCAATAATATAACTATAAATTAACTCTAACTGATAAACTAAAGTGTTGACAAACTTGTTAAAATGTTTATTGATGCATCAAAATTAGCTCATGTTGAAATACACTAAGGGGCCGCTTAGCAGTTGTTGAATGATTTAGTGGTCAAAATGTTAAAAGACTCTCATGATATAGTATAAAATGAAATATATTTGTTTAGCAATTATTTATAACGAAATTAGAGCATTGAATGGTTAAGAAAGACCCATGATACAAAAACATTCAGATAATTTTAAAACCATTAATAAACGGATTTTTTTTTATCAAACAAGATTCACCTCTTAACAATTCAAATACTACCTTTTATTGAAACTATTAAAAGGTAAATAAACAAACCTTAACATATTTTGAAAGACAATGATAATTCCCATTTTAATTCAAATAAAATGTAATTTTCCGACACATTTTTTATTTTAATTGGTTGAAGATTTAGAATATAAAAAAAATTAAAACAAAAAACTTGATTAATCAGGAGGTTGAATTAATGGATAACTATTAATGGTCAAGTAAATAAAAAAGTTGGTGGTTAAAATAAGATGTAAAAATAAAGTTACTAATTTACTTAAATTAACTAATATACACACTAAAATTGATTATCGTTTGGTAAATTAGTAAATATAATTTAGAACTAACCCATCAGATATGATTGATACCGTTATAATAATAGTGAAAATTTAAATGCTAAAATTCAACACTTCTGATTGTAGACAATCTTAGTACCATTGTCWATTGCCAAATGACACCAATGTATTATCTCCACCAGTGGCAGAACCAGAATTTTTGTCAAACAAGTGTAGATTTAAGTTGGTTCAAAGACCCACAAAGTCGTCTAATATGTTTTTAGACGAATTGCACCGTTTTCTTTGGGAATTTTTTGAGTTCTTTTGTTTGATTTCAATGGATTTTTTTAGGTTTTTTTTGTTGATTTCAAGTGATATATATTTGATTGATGTTTCTTATAACTTCTAATATCCTAGAGCATCTTTCAAATTTTAACATGTGCATCTTTTATATCTAAA